AATGAGAAAAGTCAAATATTATAAATAGCCAAAGCACAAACAGAAAACAAAGAAATGAGAGAGACAGAGAATCAAGAGTCTTTCAGCACAAAAAAATGTAATGCCACACATACAGCAAAAGCAAGCATAATCCTCAAAAAGTTTTGAGAGTATAATAGACTGCACATATTCTCGCCTGGTAAGAATATTAGCATAATACTATATAACAGCGAGTTCTTCATTCCAGTCTAACACACTTTTCTTCTTTTGATCCAAAAAAACAGTTGATTTAACAGCTCAGGAAGAGACCTCCCGTGCCTAGAAAAACTCCTTACAGTGTCCGGGTGCGTTAGCACTAAGATTAAACCCCAGCTCTTTTTTCCCCCCTTCCAATTCTGGTAAAGGAAATGTAGGCCTGGAGCTCACAACACAGAAATCTGCAGTAAGGGCAGGAACAGGAACCAATAAAAACCAATGGGATTCCTCAGGGACAAGGGTGATGCAGCTCCATTTGTATTGAAAAGGGAAGACAAAGCGTAGCAGTTCTCTAGTGGCTTTGTTTCAGATCAGCTGCTGTATACCACATTGATGTCACACACCATTTTAGCTGCTCACTATGGGATTCAATGCCCAGAAGTTACTGTGGGCTGATGTGGACTCGCTCATGAGAATAGGCAGATGCAAGGGCTACTTTACCTTCTGTTGGGCATCTGCTAAACTATCACCCAGAAAAGGTTTCAAATCACCTGGCTCCTTTCCTCCTAGGTTTCATTTGCAGCTCATGTGCACCACATCAACCCATATTATGCGCAACCAATAGACTGGCAAATCACTCACGCTATTATATTTGAAGATGTGGGCTGCCTCCAGGAAAACAACAAGGGAAATCTCTTTTGCTGGCTCAGTGACGGAGAAAGAGTCAAGCTGTGAAGCAGAGACCTAGCAGCCTGGGGTGGGTGGGTGATTGACTGTCAGGGTATGATTCATGGAAGGAAAGAAGCATGGACTGGGTTGTTTGATAAAGCAGATGAAGAAGCCAAAATGGAGGGAGCATTCCTGAATGTTTGTGGGCAAACATAGATCCAGATTGTCAGGCTCAGCTGAGACAAGAGCTACAAAAGGAGATGGGGATCGGATAAGCCAGAAGTTAATGAGACAGTTAAGGATAGGAGTCCAATGCCATGATCTGTCACAGATACAGATAGGCTGTATGACCACAGACTAATCATTTGATTTCTTTGGCTCTTTCCTTTGGCTCTTTCCTTTCCATTAAATGGGGATTATTGTACTTGCCCATTATACAGAGATATTATTTGTATAAACACCATCAGAGAATATAAAATTCTCAAGTGTGACACTGAAAGTGTGCAAGTACCCTGAACGAATAAAAGGACTGTTCTGAAATATGCTGAGCAGCTCTCCACTAGTTCACATTTGTCAAAGCACTACAGCACATGCACATGGTATGTGACCACTCTCTGGCTCTTTTGTATTTCTAAGTCACAGCCAAAGATCTGACTGTCAATTAAACTTCCCTCTGAATAGGAGATTTTTTTCCCCATCTAGGTTTATACCTAAAAGAATAAAGCACATGTTATAAGGAGAATGGGGAGGAAGAAGTTCTAAGGGAATGGCTCAGAGGGTTAAGGGGTTCTTGGTTAACTTTAGGGGAACATGGTATAGAACATTTGGTGAGCTCGAAATTCCCTCCAAGTGTCATAATCAAGAATCATTAGCCCAGTTCATCTGAAGGTGTGAAGATGCAAACCACGCTGCTGCCCACACAGTTGTCACACAGGTCTTACATTGACTCTTCAGAAGATCTTGTCTGCAGACTTTCCAATTGCTACATCACATCACTAAATCTCAGCTTTTCCTTTGCAGAAGGAGAATATATTCATTTGATAAAGCAATGCATTCACCAGATCTTAACCAATATTGAAATACTCCAAGAAAGGGCACTTCTGAAGTATCTGAGGGATCCTTCCCCACAGAATCTATAAGATACCATCAGTAAAGATATGATTTGTATTTTAGAAAAAACAAACATTTTCCAAGGATTTAGATCCCTTGGTCGGATACAGCTGTAGAAAAGAAAAATGCCTAACGTGTATTCTCTTGCCTTGTGAGACTGAAGTCCCAATAAAAGTACCATGCTTTTCTAGTACAGGCCATGTATATTCCATCAATACCTGAAGAGAAAAAAAATATAAAGTAATTTCTTGAGAACACAGAGAGATGGAAAGATTAGACAGAAAGGACTGACTGGGCTTGTGTCCTGCATCAGTAGTAGAGGTGACAATTTGGCAGTGCTGTATGGTGTCCACCAGTATAGCCTAGAAAAGAGATTAAGGGGATAATCCAGACCTACACAATCATACAATTCTCACATTTCAACCTAGGAGGGAACCTGTGATCTGTCAAGGCACATTTACCACATGATGTCCAGTTGTGAGGCCTAGAATGACAAACCAGTGTTTTATCTTGGCTCCACCTTCTCAGACATGCGTATATCCGAGAAAAGCCCATGAGGCTTTCATGTTACTGCATCCTTTCGTAATCCTTAAGAAAGGCCACTGGTACTCATCTGTCTGTTTATCCAACCCAGATACCTATGGATGATGGTAAAAGTTATATAGCCTGGCAGAATTCACACAGACTCCCCTTTTCAAGTATGCAATAGGATAACACCTTGTCCAGATGATCTCAGGAGAAGGTGCAAGGGCTCTGCCCCTGCAAGGTCTGCCAGAACAGCATGGCCATCACTGCAGCTGAGCCTGCACTGAGCATGCGCCGCTGCTTCCTCTGCTTGATCACCGAAAACAACAATTGTCAGGAGAAAACGCCTGAGGTGGCAAATAGAAAATAGAGATGACTGGTGGGTTGGGGAGGCAAGAACCATTTCTTTTCATCTCAAATTGATTTGTTTGTTTAAACAAACTCGAGAAATTCTTCCCAAGGGGGATAAGCCCATGGGCATCAGCTGCAGAATATCGCAGCTCTCTCCTTTCAGCACAGATTTGCTTTTGCTGGGGTAAAAGAAGAAAATAAAGAAGAACGAAGACAAGACTTTTTCCTTCATTTACAGGATTTGCTTGCTTTTTTCCTCTTGCCTTTGCAGTGTACTTTCTATTCCTGCTATAAATGCAATAGCTAATGGGAAGCTGCTCCCTGCAAAGCCAGCTGGGCGAGGCTCAGTCTGGCTCCTTTCCTCAGCAAATGCTTTCTCTAGTCTTTTTCCTCCTGCCACAACACTGGTTTCCCATGACTTCTCTACTCTTTGAAACTACTGGCTTGACTGAGCCAAAAGGAAATGTGCTTTTTCTGAAGCACACTCTTCATCATGATTCTAAGTCTCCTTTGACAGGAAAACTGCAGAAGGTGAAATATGCCATAGATGTATGGTGGGTCAGGAGGGCAAGAATGCACCAAATGAAAAATGCATCTTGTGTCTATGTGTGTTTCATCCACCACTCAGTCATGTCAAGTTCGACGCAACCTTGGTTTAGATGGCTAGTAAGTCTGATCTCTCCTCCCACCCCCACTTTGCAAATTAGATCCAATCCCATTCTGTAGGAAAGGAAGACAGATGGGTGGGACCTTCAGAGCATGCACTGACACACACACTCATTGACAGAGGGGTACTCACACAAATATATACAATAGCTGAAGATTTTCTATCATATAGACACATTTTTACAATGCTCCTTTTTCATTTCCTAATTGCATGCAAAGCCTACTCTGGATAAGCTGCACCCGTACCCACCCCCCTCTCCGCCACCTCCCATCTTTCTGTCCCTTTCTTGTTGCTTTTACTGATCTTTTAGAAGCAGAACGGAATAGAAAATGCACAGCAGGAAACACAGGAAAAAGCCAGTGAGAGAAGCAAGAAACATTGCCTAGTAACCTTCTGGATAGTTCACTGGCTGGGAGGGGGCACAAAGCAGTACTCACTTTTCCTTTTTGTCTTCTATTCCTATTCAGACCTATATCCTAGCCCTCTAGGATTTAGCTTCACCCACCCAAGTCCCTCTCTAAAGCACTACAGAATTAAGAGCAGTTTTAGGAAAGAACCTTTTATTTAAAAAAAAAAAAAAGACAAAAGAAAAACCCTCAAAACCCACCCACTGTTCATTGTATCATTTCAGACTTTTCTTCTCCTCCAAGTTCCCAGTTCCACCCATTTCAATCCCTCCTCCCCAGGAAAAAGTGGCAAGACTCATCTTTGGGGAACAGTTTCACTGAAGAAATACAGCATCCTCATAGCAGATTGGCAAACTGCAGCCAAATCTGGCCCTTGGAGCCAGGTTCCCTGGGCTGCGAGGACAGCATGCAGCAGTGCTATTATTCCCATTATTACTGCAGGAGGGAGGAAGGGCTTCCCTTGCAGCATTTGATTTCACTCAACGCCATCAGAGGACCGCTCCCCTGTATCATTGTCTAATGAAGAAATGCAAGCTGTGGAAAAAATGTAAGGATGGGAAGCTCTGAGAATACACAGAAACCCATCCAGGTTTTCCTGATTTTGGGTTTTGAGGGATTTTTAAGGTATTACTGTCAATTTCTTGACAGTGTCTTTCTTTCCATGATCCATTTGGGAAATATAAGATCTCCACAAAACAAAATGTAATTTCCAGTTTCTCTGCATCCAACCACCACCCAGTAAGCAGGTTTTGCAGGTTTTTCTTAGGAAAAAAATCTGTATTGTGTTACAAAAAAAAACCCATTAATGGACATGCAACAGCATCTTCTTATGGTGCAAATGTGAGGTCAGGAATATTTTAAATTGGCATGTTTATCACATGTGCATTCATATTAAAATAAAAAGCCCACCTGCTATCTCGCATCAGAGGGGTGTGTGTATGGGGGAGGAAGAGGAACAATGCTGCCATACCAGCCGTCTCTTCATCAGAGAACTCCCCAAAAAAGGAAGGAAAAAATCCCTTACAATAACAATAGAAAATAAAAACGATCATTCTATAAGAGCGTTGATTGCAAAACCCCAAAGATTTCTGTCCTACCTGAGACGGTGCTGGCCATGCTGCTGAGGTGGGAGCCGAGAAGACAGTGTAGGCGCTGCAGAAGCAGGAGTGCAGGGAGGCTGCGGAGGTGCTGCAATGCTGCGGGGAGGGAAGAACTGACTCAGCTGGAGGGGGCTGCAGCCATCGGAGGCAGGGAGAGGCTGGAGAGCTGGGAGAAGGGGTGGAAAGAAAAAGAAGGGTCACTAGTTCAGAATATTAATGAGCATATCAGGCCTCCTTTCCTGGGTGGCTTTGACGCCAGATCCCTCCCAGTTAGACTGCCTGCCAGAAATACAGACCCACCGAGGGGGAGGGGGAGAAGACACACCCAGACAGGGCTCTGGCAAAAGATGGTTTTTTCCTCCTCTTCCTCCCTTTCTTGTCTGCTCTAGACAGGCTAAATTGCTTTTTCCCTTGTCTGTTGAAAGCAAAAGTGAGCAGATTCACTGTTGTTTTTTTTTTTTAAACAAGCTATTCTAAGGCAGTAACAACCCACAGGGCCATGTCTGGGGTTTGGCTTAGCTAGGCAGAGAAGTAAAACCCAAACCCCAAACCTTGCAGCAGTTTTAGACAAACAGCAAAGGAAGGAGTGATCCCAGACAGGCTCAGCATCTTTAGGCATGCTTTTTTTGCACCTTCAGTGGGACACACAAGGGGTAACTCTACTGCAGTCAGGAGGTGAAACTGCTGCAAAAGTAGATGAGGAAGAGCAGAACGGAGCCCTCTGAATTCAATGGGACTTTTCTGGGTTTTTTTTCCCTCAGGTATCAGGACCTTCTGTTTTTCCATTTTTTTTTCTTTTACACTTCCTATCATCTCTCCTTTTGTGGCTGTTGCCAGGGGGCAATACCTCTGCTTTTTAAGGATGTATCACATGCACATTTAGGACTAAGGAAACCTCCCCAGTTCCTACGAACTGCTGCAGGTACCCTTGTATTATTCATTCAGCCACAGCTGCACACACCCCACCTCGATTTTTCATCAGACAGACTTCACCTCAGTGGCTGCGGTCGCTCACACGAGACTCCCATGCAATCCTTCCAGCCATTGGCCCTTTCATGCTACACGTTATTCTGCTGGCTGCACATACCCTTTTACTGAAAACATCCCCAAATTATCCAACGTGCTGCAATGCAGACACTCCCAAACAATTCCAGCAGCTGCAGGGAACTACAGGTTGTTCAAGTTGCTGCAGGCATTCTGGCTTAACCAGGGGTAGGAGCCACAAACAGTGCCTACTGATTCAATTAAAAAGTCAGGGATTTTCCTTTTTTTCCTCAAATTTTACCTCCCATCTCTAAGTGTCCTACTCTCTCAAAACCATAAAAGGAAAAGCCTCTTTACCATTGACAAGAATTACTAGGGAAAATCAAGTCTAATTCAGAAGTATATTAACAGTATGCATAACATTTCAGTGTATGTTTGGAACAGCAGTCTTTTTAGTCCAACCGGACAACTAACTGCTTTCTGTTCTATCCAAGGCCTATTTTATAGTTGCACCTCTCTCTGCTTTCTTCTTGGGTTGAAACTCTAAGATTTTTATAGGTTAAAACCTTCTTCCCTATTTTAAACATAATTATCATTTCAAGTTGTCCCTGTTTTCTACTAGGGAGCGTTTGAAGGCGCCGAGTATTTTTTTCGTGACAGCGATTAGGGAAAACTGGTGAGTATTCTCCTAATGCGTCCTTTGCCTTCATCACATGGGACATCTAACCAGGCAGATAGTTATGAAATAATGGATTTTCAAAGAGAACCAGTAGAGAAGTTGGTTTTGTAGCATGCAATTCTTTCACTACTTCACTATAAATATTTTTAATATTTTTAACAATTAAACATCCTTAGAGGTCGTATGCCACAGGAAGGCTTCTTCCAATAACTCATACTTTCTTTTCAGAAAAAAAGACAAACAAACCAGTTTACAAGAGTATATACATGCAAACTGTTAAGGGTGGCTCGTCTATTAATTTTGAAGAACAGAAATGTCTTTTGGAACCAAAGAAAGAAAAATCACGACCTGATAGAGAAAACTATCTCCTCAATACACAACACATCCCCAAATCAGAGACCCATAGTAATCCTCCTTGTGTTTCATTATAGGAGACAGTCGTCTAGGGCAACAGTTCACAAAGGAAGATTTGCAGGCTGTGGCTGTTACAAGAAGGGTTACAGGCATGGCAGAACCACACTTCTTTATATTATTATTTGTGGCTCTAAGTCTTGCACAAGTAGGGCTTCCAAGAAGAAACATTTGGGAAAAAATTAATCTAGTGACTAACGAAATAAGGTTGAAGGATGACAAACACCTAGTCTAAAAGGAAAAGCACGGATTGCCATATATTACTCTAATACAACAGTGTAGGTATGGCAATAGTGCAGCCATGAGACCTTCCAGTACCATTTGCAGTCTCAAGAAGCTAGGAGAAGCTGACTTAGTTGGCATGAAATAATAAAAATCCCACATAGGGCAGCAATTAACCCTCCTCAAATTATTAAATAACAGTCGAGAATGGAGATAAAGACGGTCATTGTCAAGCAAGAAAGCTATCTGAGCCCAGCCTGAAGTAACTGCAACTGAGAAAGAGAAACCAGTGATAACAACATCAGCACTAAATCAGGAAAATGTTTCCCTAAGGCAAGGGAAACAACAGAGTTATTCTGAACGTTTCCTCTTTGGTATCTATCATGTGCATCTGCGAAACGAGGCCAAACTGTGCAAAGGATCTGGATCATGAGGAAGAGGAGGAGATGTATTAATTTAGTCACTTAAAAGTGTAAAGCAAGCTAGGAATTCAGGTCACCACAGAGTCTGCTCAGTTAGAACTGGTCAAGGTTGTACAAAAAAAGTTAGCAGTGCAAAACGAGATAACTGACTGAGGAACAACAACTGGTAAAGAACAGAAAATTTTGAGCACGTGAAGCTGTGTCTAGTTCTGGCTTCAACCATGATTTGTCACGTGGCTTTCACCAAGTCACTAATCTCATCTGCTTCAGTTTCCTCATCATAAAATGGGTATTTCATTATCCACCTAATAACAGGATGATTGTGATTAAAATTTGAGTGCCAAAGAGAAAGCAGTTTTACTTCATGTATTTCCCAACAGTAAAAAGACAGCAGGGCTCGGGATTATCTGGATTCAAAGGAATCAAATAATTATATGGTCAAACAAAAGTTTTAGATGGTTACCATGGGAACCATTACATGTCCTCAGAAGGACAATGAATGGCAACTTAATCCTCTTGTATCTAAAAGGAGAAAAATGCATGAATAGCAGTGGTCTCACGGTTGGTCACCGCTGCTCTTCAATGTATTCGGTCCTGTTCCTCAAGATTCTTGCTTGTCAAGGAGGAGAAATCCTGCCTGGCTGCCCCCCCCCCCCCCCCTCCCCAAACAAAAGAGAAAATTACTCTCCTTGTACTTCTGCATTCTACAAGCTTTCTACTTACAGGATTCTCTGCGTAGTGAGGTTCAGCCACTCACACATCCACTTCCCTACAGAGTTTTAGGATTATCTTCTGCAAGATTTTTCTTTTGTACATTTTTTCCTTATAGACATGTTTTACTTTCTGTTGCCCACTTCAAATGAAAACTAGTTCATCCAAGATCTTCACCATCTACTAATGTGAGAAAGCACTGTGTGGAACCTCTGGTAGGCTGCACTGCCTATAGGACGGATCAGCATGAAGAAGCCATTAATGGTACAGGGACTGGCCTGTCATTATCCTCCATGCCACTCCAAAAATTCTCCTCTTTCCCCTCCTTTTCCCTCCCCAAACCCATGGCTTATACAATCGCAGGTTTTATCCTAGGGAGCTAAATCCCAGAATGAGAACCCAGGAATGAGAATGATGTCCGTACGTGTATGTGACAACAATGTTCTGGCTTTAGTAAACCTCTAACATTCTCTTCCAACTTGAATGAGGAATAAATCTTTCTCTTTAAACTTACAAGATTTTGTTTGCTCTCTTCCCAGTTTTTAGAAGAAATTGGTGAAGCAATGATAAAAACAGACTGGATGATGCTGGCACTGCAGACTTGGTCAAGTAAGGTAAATGGTGCAGAGAAATAACCCTCCAGAGCGATAAACAGCACTCAGCCAGTGCTGAGTCATATCTTTCCCTGGACAATAGCGCACCTGCTGAATCATATTCCTTTTTGGGTTTGGGAACTTTCCAACTCTTCTCCCTCTAAGGTAACACTGCTTAAATCAACGTTACTTAAATAGTAGTGAAAATAATCTGATTTTACACAACATTTATATTCCTCTTCAAAGCATGAAACATACATTTACAGGGAACAATGACAGAAAAGGCAGGGAATATTCAATAGGTTTATGGCCAGTTTTAAACCTTTATTCTCCATTACAAATACCTTATCCCACACCTTCACAGCATCCCATCAGTTCCTACAAACTCATTTCTTTTGCAGTTTAGTCTTGTATGACTGGTATCAAGTGAAAGAGTTAATACGTTCAGAGATATGAACAAAATCGCTTGTTACATTTTGTGTTGAGCACAGTGAAGAACAAAAGGAGTAACTCAAAATCAAATGACACCAAAAGACTGTATTTTAACGCTCTCAAACCGTAAAAAAAACAAGGACTGTTTGAATGACTTTTCTGCAATTATTCAAAATCAAGTCTGACATATCAAACAACCTTAGACGTTCTGTCCTTAGCAACATTTTCCTTAGGCATTCTTCAATTACAGATGCCCCACTCCACAAACAACTGTCTTTTCTCACAGACATACAAGAATATAGAAAACTTATTATGCCTGAGGTATAGCGACCCATATTAATAGAGTACTCCCAATCACACCTTATTAAGTTCAGCTTTGTATTGCAAGAGCTGGAAAACTGAGGCTTATAAACCACAGAACAACTGCTAGCACCCAACTCCAGTGTGCTTTGTTGTACTTCTGTAGCCTACTAGCTACAATTCAAAACAGCTTACAGACAGACAAGTTCAGCTCGGGGAGATTCAAGACTGGTAACCAAAAGAGCAGGATATGTAAGCTTCGCTATCTGAATTCTTGGAAGACACAGAATATACCAGAAGTTTGAGAAGAGATCAGATGGCACAATACACTCACATTTAAGGTCACATTTTTTCTTCTCTTGAAATATTAGAATACTTCTACATACAGACATTACCCCTTGCAACTTGGTAAGGGCATTTGTAAAGTTTCAGTAATACGACGCTACATCCTGTTTTACACTTATATAGTAACCATCTAACAGCGTAGGAACTTGAAATGACTTACAGGGAGATGTGGTG